CCTTGTGATTTTTAATTTTTCATGTAGGACTGTCATGAGAAGTAAGATTGTTAAATTTCCAGAACAGAAATAAGTAAGGGAAACATCTAAGTGTGACTCCTCCAGAATCGCTCTTGCTTCCAATTTTGTCTGCTGTTAATGGAGGTCAGCAACTAAGGGAAAAAAGGAGAAAACACATTAAAAAAAAAAAAAAAAAAAAGCCTGAATGTAAAAATAATTGGACTAGCCTGCCAAGAATAGAAGCCCTAGTGTAGTGGTTCTGAAACTTTTAGAGTCACAGAACTTTGTAGAATCTGATGAAAATCACATCCTGCACACCCCCACGGACATACAAATATATACCTGTCTTTGCAGGTCATTTCAGGCGTTTGCGGACCCCTGAAGCCCCACCTAAGGATGCTGTTAAGAACCTCTGCTCTGGAGAATAATAAAATGTTGAGCCTCTGTTTCCTAATCTGTGAAGAGGATATAGCACTCACTCCCAACCAGCTTCGTGGAAGAGAAGGAAGAAGCTACATAGACCTGTGCTGTTAAAACATATTGGTTCTCTGCCTGGCAGACATGTAATATTGATGCAGTTCTATTACCATCATCTGCTACAGTCATTCCCTATTCTGCTTCATGGGATGTAAATTTCTTTACAAGACAGAAGCAGCCCTGTCTGTGAAATTCCCAAAGCAAACCCTTCTGGTAAGCCAGCACTGTAAGTTTTCATACTTGCCTGTTAGAAATGTAATGAGTCCCCACGGAGACCAAAGGGAAGGCTGGAGGTAGCTCTGCAGGCTCTCAAAGGGTAATAATTGCTGGGGCAGGAATGCACCAAATGATACCCTTGTGGTTTTAAAAGTCAATGTAACTTTCCAAAGAGCCCTCCTTTCTCCCAGAGTAGGTTGCAATATTTGAAAAATTAACAATATTTTAAAAATTCACCCACTAAAACAAAACGTTGAGTTTGGGGGAAAAAGCTTCCGATACATCAGTTAAAAAATAAAAGCTTTTCATGTATCAGTAATATATTAAATAGAATCATCCATTTGGTTCGAGGAACCTAACTGCAATTTCTGTAAATACCACCAGTAAAATAAAGGGATTGGATTAGGCTTTGCTATCCTTTAATCTTCCTGGGTTTGCAGATCCTTTCAGAATTAGATATGAGATATAGTTTCTGGCCCCAGAAAATACACATTTACTAGACACGTAACTGTCACATAATTTTACTTGCAATTTGGGGGCTTTACAAAATCCTAGCAGTCCATGTGGACCACTAGGTTCATGAAAGCTAAAGTACCCACACTCTAAGGCCTCTTCTGCCTTGATAGGCTTCAGAGGATTCAGTTCCTTCGCCATTTTGCAGAGCCTCTGCAAAGACAGCAAGGAGCAAAGTGTTCTCCCTACAACTGCTGTGAAAATAACCATGCTTTAAACACTCAATTTAGGTTATGTTTAGAAAGCGTAGTCCAAATAAGCAGCTCTTCAGGACAATGACATAAAACTACAATTTGACTTTTTTTTTCCTGGAAGACAGGGAATGAGAAGGATGGAAGGCCTGGACAGTGCAAGATAAAGAATGGGATGTGGTCGGAACACGCAGACGGCACAGTCCTTGAAGAAGGGATTGTTAAGGGTCTTGAGAAGGCCTCGGCGAGCAGCAATCTTGCCTCTGTGGGAAGTGGTAAGGGAAGCTACGCGGCTTCTCAACACGCAGAGGGGTTCTTCTGACGGTACCTGTAGCAGGCCTCGCTGCTGGTCATAAATATTTACTGCCCCTCCCTGAAAGAGGATGATATTTCTCCTCCTCCTTGACATTAGGCTTGGCCATGCTATTTGCCCTGGCCAGTGAAATGTACAGAAATGACATCTCTTACTTCCAGGCAGAAGATCTAAGAGCCAGCTCAAGGTTTACCATGTGCTCTTGTCCACATCCACGAGGCTGGCAGGATTCTAGGTCCACTGCGCCCTCAGTGAAGGGAACGTCGGGCAGCGCTGCAGTCAGCCTCTCAGGCATCAGGTGAAGTGCAAGAAAATATTTTTGATGTTGTAAGCCTGTGAGGTTTTGGAGTTGCTTGTTACTGCCGAAGAGCCAAGACTAATTTCCTGATGTATCATCCTCCTTTGGGAAGGAAGAGGGATGGATTACAGCACCAGCCAGCGTCTGCAGGAACTATGTGCATCCTCCTCTTTCCATCCTTCCCACTCCTGACATGTTAAAACTAAGTGTCAGTTTGATTGGGTTGAAGGATGCAAAGTAATGTTCTTGGGTGTGTCTGTGAGGGTATTGCCAAAGGAGATGAACATGTGAGTCAGTGGACTGGGGGAGGCAGACCCACCCTCAGTGTAGGGGGGGCACCATCTAATCAGCTGCCAGCATGGCTAGGATAAAGCAGGCAGAAGCAGGTGGGAGAAGCTGACTTGCTGAGTCTTCTGGCCTTCATCTTTCTCTCGTGCTGGGTGCTTCCTGCCCTTGAACATCAGACACCAAGTTCTTCGGCTTTTAGACTCTTGAACTCACACCAGTGTCTCTCTCTCTGGCCTTCGGCCACAGACTGAAGGTTACACTGTCGGCTTCCCTACTTTGAGGTTTTGGGACTCAGACTGGCTTTCTGGCTCCTCAGCTGGCAGAGGGCCTATTGTGGGACTTCACCTTGTGACTGTGCGAGTCAATTCTCCTTCATATCGACATCCGTCCTATTAGTCCTGTCCCTTTAGAGAAGCCTAATCCACCTCCTCATCCACTGTGACCCGAGGAACTTCAGAGCTCAGCTGAGAGCCAGTAGCCCATCAGTCATGCCCCCTGTAGCAGGTTGAATGATGGCCCCTGAAAACAGATGTCCACATCTTAACCCCCAAATCATGAATGTGACTTAATTTGGAAAGGGAACCTTGCAGATATCATTAAGATTCTCCATATGAAATCATCTTGGATTACCAGGATGTGCCCTGGATCCAAGGACAGGTGTCCTTCTCAGAGATGAAGAGAAGACAGAGGAGATGGAAGCAGTGTAGTTACAAACCAAAGAACCCCTAGGACCACCGGGAGCTTATAGACTCAAGGGAGGCTTCTTCCCTAGAGCCTCTGAAGACAGCCTGCAGGCCGGGCACAGTGGCTCACGCCTGTAATCCCAGCACTTTGGAGGTCCAGGCAGGCGGATCACCTGAGGTTGGGAGTTTGAGACCAGCCTAACCAACATGGAGAAACCCCGTCTCTTGAACAATGAGATCACTTGGACACAGGAAGGGGGAACATCACACACTGGGGCCTGTTGTGGGGTGGGGGAAGGGGGGAGGGATAGCATTAGGAGATATACCTAATGTAAATGACGAGTTAATGGGTGCAGCACACCAACATGGCACATGTATACATATGTAACAAACTTGCAA